GAGGACGCGTCCACAGATGGGGCGCGGTAGGCTGGTGAACGGACTTCTCGCCGCAGGGCTCCTTGGACCGTCAAGCGCTTTGGGACCTGCCCATCGGCCGCTCCTCGGCTTATAAGTTTGCGTTCAGCCACCGCTTTGTGAACGTGCCGCCTCGTCGTCATCGTGGTGTCGCCGTCACCCCTCATCTACGGGCCGTGGACACCAGAAGGCGGGAGTTCATGCTCAGTTTGTGTGGTTCAGTGCTTTCACGGGTAGATCCCTCTCTCGCAGCTTCGTTATGTTTTTGCGTTTCCGTTTTTTGGCCCCCTCCGCTCTTCTAGATCCAACACGCCTGCGGCGAATCACCGCCGCCCCCTACCTTCTTGGAAGCGCCTATGTGGCCGACGGTTGGGCTAGAGCTATCCGGCAAATTGTTCCCCCAGCTGTCGTTGAAACCTTTAGGGGAACAAGTGCGGAAGAGGAACATGAGGAGAAGAAGCAGGAGGAGGAGGAGGAGGACGAGGAGGAGGAGGAGGAGGAGAAGGTGCAGGAGGAGGAAGCCTCTTGGGAGCCTCTTGGGTCACTCTCAGAGCCCCCCTGGGAGCTTCTTGGGGGCCTCTTGGAGGCCTGTTGGGGTTCTCTTTGGGCCTCTTGGGAGCCTTTGTGGAATTGTTCGGGGCCGCTTTGGCCGCCTTAGGGCGTTCCTGACCCGTCTGAGAGCGTCCAGAGGAACGTAAGGTGGCCCAAGAGAGCCCAAACAACGACCAAGCCAGTCTAAGGTGGCCCAAGGCGGCCTCCCGAGAGCGCCAGAGAGAGCCCAAGAAAACCGCAAAGGCTCCCACATGGACACGACGCGGGTTCAAGGAGCCACAAGAGGGCTCCAGGATAATCCTCACATGTGCGAGTTCAATTCAATTTGGTTGTTGCTGCTGTTTGAAACCGTTTCTGGGATTTGCAGGAGTTTCGGCTGAGGGTTGCTGCCAGGGGCATTCGGCGAAGCCTCAGAGCGTCTACCATAGCCCCGGGAAGGTCACGGGAAGGCCGAGGACTGCATGGCGTAGCTGGCAGGTGCGCTTCATGTGCCTGTTGTGCCTGCTATGCGTGGAACGCGGTGCGCTTGATTTCTGGCGCCTGGGATCCGTTACGTAGGCAGTGTGCGTTGGCGCATGGTGTGTTTGGTGTTTGCGCGTTGTGCGCTTGGCAGGTTCGCAGGTGTGCACGGTGCTCGGATTTGTGTATGCTGGCTGGCGCAGCAGCTGGCCCCCGAACGGTCTGGAAAGCCTCCGCCAGAACCTTCCGAACACAATTGCGCCAGACACCCGAAAGTACCTCAAGAAGGGCCATGAGCCGCCCTGGGGCTGCCATGAGAGTCCAATATCGTCCCAGGAGAGCTCCAAGAGAGACTGCGACAGTGAGAGCCCCGAATAGTTTGGCGAGAGCCCTAAGCGACTCCTGGGGCCTGAGGGCTTCCCACACGAGTGCTCACAACCGTCCATGAGTACGCCGGAAGGTCTCCCACAGACCTCTCCGACCGCGTGCGTCAATTCACACGTCAGGAGTCCGTAGCCATTGATCTGGTCTCAAGCTGCTGTCCGGTGTCTTACTCCACAGGCGCGGAAGCGGGGGAAACGCACGAGAGCCGAGAGCCAGGTGCCATGCAGATGCCGCTGGCGCATGCTGTGCCCACAGGTTCGGCCACGGAGGGCGAGCCCGAGGCCGCGGCGGCACCCTGGCCGCGGTCCCGCTGCCGCCCGCCGGCGGTCGGTGCGCTCGCCGTGCTCCCGGTGGTGGCGGTCTGCGCAGTCGCGGGGGGCGGTTCTGGCGGCCCGGTCCCCGTGCGCTGGAGGCTGGTCGGCGTGATCAGCATGCCAGATCGGGGCAAGGAGGCGAGGAGGGCGCCGTGGACATCTCCGAGGCGAGGAGGCGAGGAGGCGAGGAGGCGAGGAGGCGAGGAGGGCAAGGAGGGCAAGGAGGCGAGGAGGCGAGGAGGGCGCTGAGCAGGGCGTCGCCCTCGTGGCCAGGAGATGAAGCCAGGCGGCACTCCGTCCGAAGGGGGCGAAGAAGTTGCTGGATGATGGGAAGGTGGTAGCGTTGATGGCCTCTGGGGGAGACCCCGCGGGTGTGGGGAAGGCCGAGGGTTTTTGCAATGAGGCAGGTGCTGATGGACGAAGGGATCCTAGAGGACATGATCATTTTGGAGTCTCAGGCATTCACAACGGCGGAGAGCTTCTGGTTTGCCATGCGGTGAATCCCTCCAAGCACAGACAAATTCTACATAGTGACATCTGAATTTCACGCTCCCAGGGCATGGTGGACCGCTAGTGCTGTCTTCAATCACTTCTACACGATTCTTGAGGACGAGTTCAAGGACGATGAGCGCTGGACAAGCTCGACCAATAAGTACCCGAGATTGGAGGCGATAGTAGTGGCCATTCCCAACTTCTGCGGTACAGACCCCTCCACTGCAGACGACGTCTCTCTCGGTGTTGATGTCAGTCGGAGGTCGCTGGCATACCGCGCGATGCGCGAGATGGGCATCATCCAATGGAAGCCCGCTGATATGTACGGTGCCGCCCCGAAAGAGGGCCAGCTCAACCTGAACGCTGTCTGGTTCGCCACGATCGACGTCAACAAGGACACCGAGACGGCCAAGAATTGGGATGCTGCGATAGCGCAGATGATGAACGTCGTCCAAGCAGTGTGCGTGTGCAGGGGGGGCATGGAGGGGGACGGGCCAGAGATCGAAGAGTATCCTCTGGTCCTGCCTATCAGCTCGGACTTCCCCGCGGGAAAGACAGTCGACGACTGGGAAGCAGCCAAGAAGGAGTGCAATCCCGACTCTGATAGGTGGATTTTGGTAAAATTCTGTCCGGGAAGGGCAAGGAGGAGGCCGAGCTCGAGCTCTCCGACGACTGCGACACAATGCAAGTCGCAGATGCCAGCGCTCCGACGACTACCAGGAAGCCCTGAGCGCTCCGACATCGCCCTGAAGCTTGGACATCTCAGCAGCTTCCAGAAATGGAGGGCGGGCCGTTGTCAACGTTCGGCAGTAGTTGCAAGGTGGGATGGCGGGCCGTCGTCAGCATGTCAGCGCGGGCTGAAGCTCCAGGAGTCTCCCGTTCAGTTTTTCCCTGCTGTTTTGGATTCGATGCGGCTCAGATGCAATCGGAAGGCGGTGTGCGAAGCATTCCAGATTAATGACCTCGTCGTCATTCTCTCGCGTTCCTCCGCGCGGATCTCCCAGAGTCTCCGCCGCCGGGCCAGTTGTTGCTCCCGTCTCCATTTGTTCGCAGTGCCTGCAATTTCGCGCTCCTCTCGTGGCGCCGCCTGATCATGCCCTTAGCATGCAGCCGACATGCCCTGGCTTCTACACTTCCGCCATCTGGTGCCCCGCGCGCCCAGCAGCGTTCATGGAGCCTCGGCGGGGGCCCGGCGCCTACGCGCGCACTGGCGCGCGCTGGCGCGCCAGGGGGGGCCCCGGCGCCGAGCCAGCGCGTCCAAGCGGGCGCGCTCAGGGGAGGATCGGGCCGGGCGAAAGGGGGGTATTGGGAAAGGGGGGGTTACGAAATTTGCTGCATGCAGCTGGTTTTAGCTCCACCGAGGAGCCCATTCCTCGATACATGGCCGCCTCCGGCGCCGGGAGGCGCGGGGAAAATCAGCTACGTGAGCTGATTCTCAAACCCCCCCTTTGCTATCCCCCCCTTTCGCCCGACCCGATCAGGGGAGGAGAGGGGCAGCGCCGATCCAATCCGCGCGGATCTCCGAGGGTTTCCGCCGCCGGGCCATGGGTGCCTCTCCAGGGGCCGCCGGCAAGGTCTCGGCAGGCTCGCGCTCGCGGCGGCGCGCCCAGGGGGGTGGGGGGCCAGACAGGGATGCACCGTTGGGCCAGGGCTGGGACACTGTAGGGCGCGCTGGTGCTGCCACCCAGCCCCCGTAGGGCCCCCCGTTTTTTTGGGTTCGCGCGCGTGCGCGCCGAAAGGATTTTTCGCTCGAGCGGCTGCAGCTGTCGCGCGAACGCACTTCGCCTAGACAGCATACCCTCGGCCGGCTCACGCTGGTGGCGGCGCGCCCAGGGGGATGTGGCTGAGAGGGGCGTCGGCGGGGCTGTGGCAGGGGCAGATCGACTTGCAGCAGCTTCAAGGATAGAGGGCGGGTCGTGGTCAACATGTCAGCACGGGCGGAAGGCCCAGCATGGACGGCTTCGTCGTCATTTTCGCAGTTGGCTCTCCACACTGAGCCGTGCAACCTGTCATCCAGCGAAATCCAGATCCATCGTGCATGCTGGCTTTCGTAGATCGATCCACGGTGAAAAACACATCGCACGTCAGGATTCCCTCGATATTGATTGTTTGTGCCACATCGATGTCTTGTCTGACGGCGCCTTCAGAGAATCCCAAGAGAGGATCCGAGTTCCCCCGTGGAGTGTACTCGTGGCTCTTGGATCATCTTGGGATCCTGTTCGACCGTCTCAGGGTGCTCTTGGGCCGTCTGCTTCCTTCACGGGCCGCCTTGTGCTTTTAAGTCTTCACGCTTCGCGTATCCCCACCAGCCTAGTGTTCGGACGGCTTTCGACCCACCTCGCGAGCCTGTTGACCAACAAGTATCCCCACCAGCCCATTCAGATACCCTGCCCTTCAGAGCTGACGGGGACAGGAACGAAGAGACACATCCAAGGAAACAGAGCGAGCAAAGGGGTGGCCTTGGAAGGCCTCTTCGGGCTATCCCTGGGTGCCGCGTGGGGGCGAGGGGAAGAGGAGGAGGATGAGGAGGAGGAGGAGGAGGAGGAGGAGGAGGAGGAGGAGGGGAAGGAGGAGGAGGAGGATGAGGAGGAGGAGGAGGAGGAGGAGGAGGAGGAGGAGGAGGAGGAGGAGGACGAGGAGGACGAGGACGCGGATGAGGACGAGGACGAGGAGGATTTTGAACCCTCTTTGGTGCCTTTCGGTGGCCTTTGAGGGCATTTTGGGGACATTTTACCTAACAGCGAAGACTGATAGGTTTCTAGTTGACTCAAAAGAGCTCACAGATCACTCCACAGGGGGGTCCGGGCAGGTGTTGGGGAGTTGCCGGGCGGCAGGGTGCCGGGCTCGTTTTTCACCAACAGTCACACACTTCGTGCTCTTCGACTTCCCAGAACTCCATTCCCAGGCCACATTCTGAATACCCGGATGCAACAGTCACACACTTCGTGTTCTTCGAGATCCCAGAACGCCATTCCCGGGCCACATTTAGAATAACCAGATGCAACAGTCACACACTTCGTGCTCTTCGACATCCCAGAACGCCATTCCCGGGCCACATTCTGGAGGGCCGGATGCAACAGTCACACACTTCGTGCTCTTCGAGTTCCCAGAATTCCATTCCCGGGCCACATTTTGGATGCCCGGAGCCAACTGTAGGCCACTTCCTGGTCTTCGAGTTCCCAGAACTACATTCCCGGGCCACATTTTGAATAGCCAGACGCTTCGTAGTCCTTCCGCCACAGCCGTGTTTGGTTCAGGAATTGCTAGTGACACTGCAGTCCACTGCATTCAATCGTGCCACTGCATTCACTCACTGCAGTCCACTCAGTTTCGATTGCAATGGCGTTCCCCTGGCCGTACCCCCATACCCAACGTTCATCCGCAGCCTCTGCTCCGCGAGGCTCGTCCGAAGTGTCGCCGCCTCGCGGTGCTTCTCAGCCTGCGCCGCCTCGCGGTGCTTCTCAGCCTGCGGAGGAAGGTGGACAGACGCCTGGTTCTGGCGCTGTGCAGCCTGCGTCTTTCACGGTCGCCTCGTTCAATTTCGGGTTCGAGCAGGGCATGATGACTGGTAAGCAGGCGGCCACTCACTGCGCTAACTTCGGAAGGGTGTGCGCCACGATAGTGGAGACCGCTGATGCTGATATTGTCTGTGGCTGCGAGGTCGGTGCGTTCCGTGAAGGCTTTCGCCGAGCAGGGATCAACGTGACAGAGATCCTCAGTAAGCCTTTCGGTGATGGCATTCGCTTCTCGGAGGTCGACAACTACTTGACTCTCTGGGGGTTCCGCGGTGCTTCTCAGCCTGCGGAACTGACTCTGTGCGAAGACAGCAAAGTTTACAGGCCTCCTAGCGGCCGAGAGATTGATGCTGTTATTTCACATTTTGAGGTGAACAAACCAGGCCATGACAAGTTCCACGTGGTGATCGCCAACATGCACATCGTGTGCGGCAAGAAACCGCCGACCATCCAGACTCGAAAGCGGACAGTTCGCAATCTCCGCTTGCACCTGGACTGCCTGGGAAAGATTCTTGAGAATCTGAGCCAGGCAGTCGTTCTGCTTGTAGTCGGCGACGACAACCTCACTTTCCAGGAGGCGCGGGAGGCTTACCAGCGCCAGCAGAACGACGAGAAGCTCTGGGAGGTCCATGCCACTCCGGCCGACCTCAAAGGCGACCACGTCGCGGTCTGCGGAGCAGTCGCCCGTTTCTGCTCCATTGCCGTTGGCGCGTCTTTTACGGATCGTGGCATGCGCAACGACGCACACGATGCGGTGGCGGTTGTGCTCACTCTCCCTGGTGCTATTCAGCCTGGGGAGAGCAAGAGGCGGAAGATTGTCGTCGAAAACGTCTCCGACGCCGACGTCAGCGTACAGGCGGACGCCGAGTCTTCTGTGCATTGGGATCGGTCGCCGAGTTCTACTCCTCCGCTTTCACCGACTTCACCGGGTGATCCCGACTACGTCGAGGATGTCGTTCAGAATCGCGCGAACGACTTGCACAGGGAGCTGAGGCAGCTTTGGGACGACAGGTACGACGAGGAGTACGATCCGAAAGTCCTCCATCATCTCAGTCTCTTGCTTTTCAAAAAGAGGAAGTCCACGGAGCCAGCGGACACTAATCCAGCTGGCGCTCCTCAGCCTGGCTCGGAATATGACGCGGCCTTTGCGTCTCAGGAGGAGACTGGCCGAGCCATTCTCTCTGTCCTTAAGCTTCGACATGACTTTCTGCGGAGCAAGAACATCGACGACATGCGCTACGTTCTCACGGAGCCTGAGCGCCAGGAATTGGTCAGAGTAGCTCGCGACCAGTACGAGCAGTCGCGGCAGCAGCGTGCGCTTCAGGAACGGGATGTCGAAAAGGGAAAAGCGAGAGGCAAGTCTGCGCCACAAGGGGGCCATGCGGTTCCGCAGGGTCCTAACAAAGGGCCAGGCGGTAAGAAAGGTTCTCACGGTGCTTCTCAGCCTGCGGGAAAAGGTGGCCAGGCCAAGGGTGCAGGTCTGGGTAGCGTCGCCAAGTTTGTGAAAGACCAGAAGCGTAAGCGGTGGCATCGCCATTTGCAACGTGTGGCCGGTACCAAACAGATCTGGGAGGTGCTGGCCTTCTCAGGGCGCTTCGACGTTGATTGGCTAACGCAAGCGTTGCAAGCTGATCACAGTGAGGGCCGTGATGCAGCAGTTCCCGAGGAAGCTCTGCGGCAACAGCGGCGCCGGCTGCGCCACCAGAAGGCCGAGGCCATCGCGCGCTACAACGAGGGGGAGCGGCTTTCCCGCCATCTGTCTGCCCAGGCTGGCCAGCCAAAGCCGAACTTCACGCGCAGGCAGCTGGACGTGTTGCAGATGTTTGAGAGCGGAGCGCTGCTTCAAATCCGCAACCAAGCGATTCTGGCGTTGGGGCACGGCCGTCTGTTCAGGGCCGATGGCGACTACCTGGACATCGGCGGCAGCACGGGCGGTGGCTCCAGGAGCATCATCGATTCTTGGCAGCCGCCGGACTGGCGTGACTTCCTCCAAGACGATCAGGACATCTGAGTTTTGCAAGTCTCCCTGCCCGCGGTGCTTCTCAGCCTGCGGTCTGCCGCTCTCCAGCTGCGGTCTCGAGCAGTAGTGTTCGAAAGCATGCGAGTTCCTGCGGTGCTTCTCAGCCTGCAGGTTTCGCAGCTTGCGCTCTGCAGTACAAGTGCTTTTCAGCATGCGACATCCTGCGGTGCTTCTCAGCCTGCAGGGTTCCCAACGTGCGGTTTGCAATGCATTCCTTTTCAGTATGCGAGTTCCTGCGGTGTTTCTCAGGCTGCAGGGCTCCGAGGCTCTTCGCTTCGATGCCAATGTTTTCAGACACCGTAGCTCCGTTCCGTAAACATCTTCCAAGAGCCGCTCGCAACCTTTTGCAGCTGGCGGTCTGCAGACGTAGTCTGTCTCAGCATGCGAGCTCCCGCACGCTTCGCCGGCTTTTGCTGCGCGGACAATTTTCTCACACACGTCAGCGCCGTTTGTAGGCGTCAGAAAAACATGTAGACATTCACGAAGGGCTCAGTCTGTATATCGTCACATCATTACATACGCAGTCGTCGAACACATCGGTGTACATTCAGCGCTTTGTCCTTCTAGCTGGGTCGCTTCGTGCTGAGGCTGAGGCTGATGCAGGCTGAGGCTGAGGCAGGCTGAGGCTGAGGCCGAGGCCGACGGCAGACTGAGGCTGAGGCTGAAGCAGGCTGAGGCTGAGGCAGAGGCAGGCTGAGGCTGAGGCTGAGGCAGGCTGATGCTGAGGCAGGCTGAGGCTGAGGCTGAGGCTGATGCAGGCTGAGGCTGAGGCTGAGGCCGAGGCTGAAGGCAGACTGATGCTGAGGCTGAAGCAGGCTGAGGCTGAGGCTGAGGCAGGCTGAGGCTGAGGCAGGCTGAGGCTGAGGCTGAGGCAGGCTGAGGCTGAGGCTGTGACTGCGACTGCCGTTGCCACTGCGACTGTCATCGCGAATGCGACTACGACTGCGAGAACAGCAGAATTCTACAACTGGATTCTCATCTGAATCTTAAGGGGAATGCTTCCAGATATGCTCCTACACATCGCTGTTAGGTTGCTTTGCCGGGATAATTGGAGAGCATCGATCAAATGAGGAGGGGTTCTCGATGTCGCCCCCCCCTTCCCCGCCCCCCTCAGGAGCCCTCAACATCGCATCTTGGAACCATATTCGCGCTCTTTTGGGGTTTCTTTGGGCCCTCTTGGGGCCGTCTTGGGGCCCTCTTGGGACTCTTGGAGCCATCTTGGGGCTCTCTTGGGGCTCTCGTGGGAGCCCCGGAGCGCCTCTTGGGGCCGTTTTCGAGGCTATCGATCAAAGGAGGGGGGGTCCCGATCGAGGTCCCCCCCCTGGGGCCCTCAAAACTCTCGTTTGGAGCCCTCTTGGGGCGCTCTTGGGGCGCTCTTGAGCGCTCTTGGGGCCGTCTTGGGGGCCTCTTGGGCCCCTCTTGGGGCCTTCTTGGGCCATCTTTGGGCCATCTTGAGGCCTCAGAAGCGCGTCGGAAGCGAAACAGCGAGAAGGCACACATCATACATTTTCCATCGGTTTTTGACGGATTTTGGGCTCTTGGAGGGGTCCTGAGGGGGTTCCGAGAGCACCTGGAACCGTCTTAAGGTCATCTTGGGGTCCCTTGGAGGCATGTTGTTAGCTATCTTGAACCATGTTGGGCTATCTTGACGATCTTGGAGGCCATCTTGGGCTTTCTGAGGCCCTCGTGGAGCCATCTTGAGGCCATCTTGGACGCTCCAACCGATCGCGGCCCCTCCCGTCCAGGTCCACTGGAGGGGGTAGGGGGAGGGGTAAACCCATCCCCGAAGGGGAGGAGGGGTTTGTGGAAGAGGAAAGAAGGTCATCGTTAGACCACCTGCGCCCAGAGGGCTGGTGGGATTTACTTGTGGACACGTTCCCTGCTACCCGGTTCTCGTCCTCTCTGGTCCGTCTGGGCGCTTTCTTGAGTTTTCTTGGGCTCTCTTGGAGCCCAATCGGGCCGTCTTGGGGCCCTCTTGGGGCTCGCTTGTTTGGGGCCCAAGAGGATTACGTAGAAAACACCTCCACCAGATGGCTCCAATAGCCCCCCAGATGTTTTTCCAAATCGAAAGAAAGTTGTTGTTGTGTGCAGCTGTGGCTGGCACCGAGATGGCCTTCAAGAGGCCCCCATAGGTCGCCAAGATGTCGCCCAGAGGCCCCCGAGCGGCCCTAAGAGGCCCCGAGACGCTCAATAGAGGGCCCGTCCCTGTGAGGCTTTGCTAGGTGGGTGAACATCTTCTCGCGCAGGGTATCGAAAGGGATGTGTCCTCTTATGTACACCTCTTGGTCCACCTACAGGTGCTCTCATGATTGTGCTTACCTTTGATTGATCGGCAATGCAGCCGGTGAGCTTCAGTCATTGGTTCGCAGATCGCATATTGGAGGAGGAGGAGGAGGAGAAGGAGGAGGAGGAGGATGAGGAGGAGGAGGAGGAAGAGGGGGAAGAGGAGGAGGAGGAACAATGGGAGGAGGAGGAGGAGGAGGAGGAAGAGGAATGGGAGGAGGAGGATGATGATGATGATGATGATGATGATGAGGAGGAGGAGGAGGAGGAGAAATGGGAGAAAGAGGACTGGGAGGAGGAGATGGGAGGGGGAGGAGGAGGAGGAGGAGGAGGAAGAGGAGGCGGAGGAGGAGGAGGAGGAGGAATAAAAAGACGTTTATTAACAACAACCTAATAATAGTACCAATCAGACTACGAATAATAATACTAATCGTAAGAGGGGTGATAACACTGATAATAATAATGAGTCTATGAATACGGATAATACGAAAATATGGTTAATACGACTAAACATACTCATAATAATACTCATACTGGTAATAGTAGTAGTAACAACAATAAGATTAACAATACTACGAAGAGTAGTACTAATCAGAAACAGTAAGGCTGACATTAATAATGCGAAATATAATACAACGGACAACAATGCTAAGAAGACTATGCATGTTAATATTACTAAGACTACGAACAATAATAGTTAGACGAGGAGGAGGAGAAGGAGGAGGAGGAGGAGGAGGAGGAGGATTCGATCGCGCTCTTGGGCCCGCGCCGAAGAGAGGGACCCCGGGTGCCGAGGACCCGTCGCGCCGAGGGGACACTGGCTCGACGCGATGCGCAACGCCCCGGACCAGGAGAAGAGGCGAGCCTTTTGCCAGAGGTCAGGGGCAGGACGGTGAGGAAAGATCGAGCGATCGCCCGCACGCTCTGGAGAGCGGGCCCTGTCGAGAGCAGGTGGGAGGGGCCGCGGTCCCGAAAGGCTGTGAGGCAGAGGCCCTCGCTGTGCTCGTTTGCTCGCGGAGCTCGCGGAGTCTCTGCGCATGCGGGCCTGCCGGTCCTGCACTCGGGGGCAGGCGGGCGGAGGAGGAGCCAGGACGGCGGAGGAAGGAGGAGGACGGAGGAGGACGGAGGAGGGATAGGAAGGCGGAGGAATGAGGACGGAGGAGGAAGGAGGAGGACGAGGAATGACGGCATTTGGCGGAGGGAGGGGGCGGAGGAGGAAGGAGGAGGGATGGGGAGGGAGGATGAGGAGCAGACGGATGGGGGAGGAGGGTCGAGAAGGGGGTGGCGGTAGTGAAGGATGAGCAGTTTGGCGGATGGGCCAGCCCCTCCATCCGTCTTTCCCAGGTGTGGACGGCCGAGCGGTCTCTGCGGCCTCCGTCCTGTCCCTCCCCCATCCTGCTGTTAAGTCGGCCTCCTGCTCCAGATGCTCCTGCTTGTCGTCCTCGTCCTCGTCCTCGTCGTCGTCGTCGTCGTCGTCGTCGTCGTCGTCGTCGTCGTCGTCGTCGTCGTCGTCGTCGTCGTCGTCGTCTGAACCTTGCCACCGCCAGGGATGGCGGTGCCGTAGGATCCGACGCACATTGCGATTCGATCTGAGGTGCAGTGCGCTGCTCCGTCGCGTTCCCTGGCCCAGGAATCTTGGACGGCTGCACCGTGGGAGAGCAGAACGCCTCGAGCTGTCTCGGCTCCAGGCCGCGCGCGACGCCGCTGCTGCGCCACCGCCCTCCCTCGGCCAGCGGGCGTCCCGCCCCCTCGCTTCCTCTCTCCTTCCGCCCCCTGGGCACGGCGGCGGTGGCCTCCCCAGACATGCGACGTCCCGATTTTTTCAATACGGGGTCCCTGAAAGTCCCGACCCTTTCCCCGGGACCCGTTTTTCATCCTGAGTCGTGTTTTGACGGTCCCGAGGCCCAGCGAGGGTCTCCTGAGGCCGACAATGGCGCAAAAACCTCCCGTCCTGATTTTCCTCAACGACGCGAGCATGTCTGGGTCTGCCGCCCCTGAGCAGCTGCTCTCGCCGATGCCCTCGGAGGCCGCCGCCGCCGCCGCCCCCCGCGGCGCCGCGCCGCCCCGCGCCGCCACGCCCGCCGCGGCGCCGCCCGCGGGCCGGCCGCCGCCGCTCGCCCTGCCCAGCGCGGCCCCCGCCGCCCTCCGCGCCGCGCCCGCGGCCGCCGCCGGCGAGGCCGCGGCGCGCGGCACGCCGCGGGCCAGGCGCCTCTCGCCGCGCGCGCAGGCGGCGCCGTCGCCGAGGCGCGGCGCCGCCGCCGAGGCGCCGCCGCCGAGGCGCTCCGCGGCCGCGGCGCGGGCGCCCGTCGCCGAGGCGCGCCGCGGCGGCGGCGCGGCCCGGGGCGGCGTGCGGCGCGCCGGCGGAGGGCGAGGCGCGGCCGCAGGGGAGGCGGGCGGCCACGCCGCTCCGGGGGCCCTCCCCGCGCGCCGGGGCGCCGCGCACCGGGGAGCCCCACGCCGTGTTCTGCGAGGGCAGCAAGGTGGAGTGCAGTGTGAAGTCGGGCGTGTCCCTCTGCCAGAGGAAGATGCAAGGATCGCAACACAAAACCATGTATGGGGACGACTTTTCGACTATGTGTGGCCAATTTTGGGATTTGTTTGACTATTTGTTATGTTTCGTCCAAGACCCGCCTGTAGGAGGACACGCCCGACCTAAGTGCAGTGGCTCCTTGTCGTTTTGCATGTCGGTTTCCCCGCTCTGCGCGCCGTTTTTTTCTCCGGTACCGTCGCTGTTGTTTTGTTCTCCGGCTCCAGGTCGGGTTTCAGTCCCGGAGCAGTTTTTCTGTGCTCCGTTCTGGCGAGCAGTTCTTTTTTTGGGGGGCGGAGTTTTGCCGTTTCCATTCTCAAGGGCAAGATGTTAGGGAACGGTCAAAAGCGACCCTGCCGCTTCCAAGAACCACTGATAGGTGGAGTACTACAGCAGCACCAACGGCACTTGGATGCCCACCAGGGTCACCAGCGTGGACGAGGAGACGGGCGCCGTGACTGTGGACGTGAAGCCTGGGGTGCCGATGAGCTTGCGCGAGCAGCGCTCGCGCCTGCGTCCCCGCACCCGGCCGAGCGCCCAGCACCTGGAGTGGGGCCGGTCCGTGCTGCGCGAGGGCCGGCTGTCGGAGGATATGGGAACGACAAGGTACCGACCGACACCGCTGCTCCCCAGACATCTCCCGGGGTGCGTTCTGACCAGAAGTTCGAGGCGAGTCGAGTCCAGCGGTGGCGACGAGGGCCTCCCAGGAGGCCGAAGAAGAGGAAAACGGGGCCAGGGTAGCGGTATTAGGAGGCCACATGCGAGCCCTGCCCCACCACCCCAGGGCTTCTGAGGGGGGAGGTGGGGTTCACTTCGTTGGGGACATCCCGAGCGAAGTGAGCCCCACCCTCCCCCTCAGAACTCGTGGGGTGGTGGGGTAGGGTTCGCATGTGGTCTCCTAGGCATGGGTACCTTTTCCTCCTCGGAGAGGAGTCCCGCGCCATCTTCCTCCGCCACGCCGCGCCGGCCACTCCAGGCCAGGGCCCGGCCACCTGCGCCCTGCCGGGCGAGGCGCTGCCGCGCGCGGGGGCGGAGCTGGACGCCCTGCTGGGCACCTGCGGCTCGGTGCTCAGGGGACAAGTAGCGATATAAACTAATCTTTCCCGCCGTCGGGGACGCCTGCCCCAGGGCGGCTGGAGAGTTTATACCTCTGCGGTGGCACGTCGGGGTATAAACCTTGTAGCCGCCATGCGGCAGGCGTCCCCGGCGGCAGAGCAGTTTATTTCATACCGTTCTTCGCCCGCTCAGGTGTGCTACCTGCGCCACCAGGCCGAGAACGTCTGCGGCCACCCGCTCGCCGCAGAGGTCGGCGGCACAGCCCAGGGGAGAAGCCTCGCCGCCCGCCAGACCACCCCAGCCCAACCCGAAGGCCCTGATACATCCCCTCCGTTTCCAGTGCGGGGAGGGGGGTCGGGGAACTCGGAGAAAACGCGTGTGGAACCCGTATCCCCCCCCTCCCGAAATCCGGGTCTTCGGGTTGGGTTGGGGCGGTCTGGTAGGTAGTCAGGGGGGAAGTGAGAAGAGGCGGGCCTTCTCAGAAGGCTCGGAAGTCCCCTGGCCCTCTGAGAAGTTTTCTTGGCCTTCCCGGAACACAGGAACATACCTTTCAGAAGGCGCGAGGGCTTCTGAGAAGTCCCGCCGCCTTCTGAGAAGGCCTTCTCCTTCGCACTTCCCCCCCTCGCTCGCTGCCGCAGAGGACTTCGAGGAGCTCTTCTGGAACATGCTCTGGGGCGTCCAGAAGGAGTTCTGCCAGGCGGTCTCTCGGGAGAACGCCGCGAGGAAGCAGGAGGTCTCGCCCCATGACGCCTACAGCTTCGAGAGGACGCTGGGCTCGGGCACGTACGGGACTGTGAAGCTCGCACGCGAGAAAACGACGGGCGCCCGGCGCGCGGTGAAGATGATCAGCAAGAGCACCCACCACCAAGATTGCGAGATCGAGCACCTCCTGTTCCTTGACCACCCCCATATCGTGAAGCTGTACGAGCACTATGAGGACCAGAGCTACGTCTACCTGGTCATGGACTACTGCTCTGGCGGCGACCTCCAGTCCACCATCAGCGAGAGCAGGGGCGCAGGCTGCCTTCTGCCAGAGTGCTTCGTGTCCGACGTGATGCGCCAGGTCCTCATGGCGATCGCGCACGTGCACTCGCACGGCATTGTGCACCTCGACCTGAAGGCGGCAAACGTCATGCTCACGCCAAGCCGCAGCACCCTCCCACCCTGCCGCGGCGAGCAGGAGGGCCGCATCCTGGCGAACGTCCACGAGAGGCCCCACGTGATGGTCATCGACCTGGGCGTCGCCCAGGCTCGCAGAACGAGCAAACTGCCGCGCAAACATGCAGTGGAGGCCCATGCCAAGAAGCACACTGTTTGCTTCCAGGGTGCCCTAGGTTTCCTGGGTTTTGCAATGGAGAGAGAGACGTTCCCACACCAAAATCAGTGGACGTCCTGGGGTCTCAGGGTTGGGTTTCTTGTGGAGGAGTTCTTGTGGACACCATCGGAGGTCCGCACGGACTTCTTGGATCGCCGCAGGGGCCCTGGCGCGCTCCGCGCGCCAGGGAGGGGCCCCGCCGCGCCCATCCAAGGGACCTGCGCGGATCTCCGAAAGTTAGTGCTTATGCAGTCTTTTGTTTGCCTCCGCGGCCCGCAGCCAAGCTCGGCCAAGAAGAAAAGCTCGGCCAGGCGGACCTCGGCCAGCCGAGCCCCTCCCTTGGCCCACAGGTGTTCCAGCCTGGGAACTTCCGGAGCCGCAAGCCGACGGGCACCCCGTGCACCATGGCGCCGGAGGCCTGGAGCGGTGATCGGATTCGGGCTAATGGGTCCTTTGCAAAGGGAGCCTCGAAACCGTACGCAATGGTTCGTGCAATCGTTCGTGCGGGATGCGCACGTCGTACACCTAACAGCACGTGGCTGCCACGCACCATGCGTCACAGGATGAACTATTGCATTTTGTTGTTTTCGACCCCACTGCGAAAGACCCCCTTCTGCCTGGAGGGAGGGAGGGATGGAGGGAAGGAGGGATGAGGAGGAGGAAGAGAAGGATGAGGAGGAGGCGAAGGAGGCGGATGATGATGATGATGATGATGATGATGATGATGATGATGATGATGATGATGATGATGATGAGGATGAGGAGGATGAGGATGAGGGTGATGATGATGACGATGATGATGATGATGAGGATGATGATGATGATGGTGATTACATTGACGTTGTTGATGATGATGATGTTGATGATGATGATGCTGCTGATGTTGAGGATGAAGATGATGATGATGCTGCTGATGCTGATGATGATGCTACTGATGATGATGCTGCTGATGATGATGAAGAACATGATGATGAGGATGCTGCTGCTGCTGATGATGACGATGATGATGATGATGATGATGATGATGATGATGATGATGACGATGACGATGATGATGATGATGATGATGATGATGGTGGTGGTGGTGGTGATGATGATGCTGATGATGCTGCTGCTGATGATGATGATGCTGATGATGCTGATGCTGATGATGATGATGATGATGCTGTTGATGATGATGATGATGGTGATGGTGGTGGTGGTGGTGATGATGATGATGATGACGATGATGATGATGATGATGATGATGATGATGATGATGATGATGATGATGATGATGATGATGATGATGATGATGATGATGATGATGAGGATGATGAGGAGGAGGAGGAGGAGGAGGAGGAGGAGGAGGAGGAAGAGAAGAGGACGAGGAGGAGGAGGAGGAGAGGAGGGGAGGAGAGGAGGCGAGGACGGAGGAGGAGAGGGAGGAAGAGGAGAGGAGGAGGAGAGGAGGAGGAGGAGAGGAGGGAGGAGAGAGAGGGGAGGACAGAGGAGGAGGAGGAGGAGGAGGAAGTGTAAGAGGAAGAGAGGGAGGAAGAGGAAGAGGAGGAGGAGGAGGAGGAGGAGGAGGAGGAGGAGGTGGAGGACCAAGGTGAGTTCACGCCGCGCGCGGACGTCTGGAGCTGCGGCGTGGTGCTCTTCGAGCTGCTGGCGCTGCGCCTGCCCTTCGCCTGCCCCTGCGAGCGCGAGGGCGCGGCGACCTACTGGAGCGCCCGCCCTGCGCCGCCCTGGGAGCACCTGCGCGCCGCCTCCAGCGTTAAGTCGGGCCTGTCCCTCTACAGGGAGGAGCATTCAAAAAAAAATAAATATATAGTCAAAAAAAAACAACAGTCTGGGGACGATTTCTCGATATTTTGCCCATTTTGGGTGCATTTTTCCATTATTTTTCATTTTTCTTCCAAAATCCGCCGGTCGGGGGGCAAGCCCGACCTAACTCCAGCGACGCGGTGGGCATGTGCCGCCGCATGCTGGCCTTCGACCGGCTCCGGCGCCCCTCCGCGGCGGCGTGCTTGGGGAGGAAAAGGCACCCATAACCGTTACCCCTCGGCTGTTTTCCCCTTTCTCGGCCTCCTGGGAGGCCCTCGTCGCCACCGCTGGATTCGTCTCGAACTTCGGGTCAGAAGCACCCCAGGAGAGGTCCAGGGAGTGGCGGTATCGACGACGGCGACGGTGACGGCGACGGCGACGGCGACGGCGACTGCGACGGCGACGGCGACGACGACGGCGACGACGACGGCGACGGCGACGGCGACGACGAGGAGAAGGAGGAGGAGGAGGAGGAGGAGGAGGAGGTTGAGGATGAGAGTGATGACGATGACGACGACGTTGACGATGACCATGACGATGACGAAATTCTGGTTCCCCAGGCGTGCCTGGGGGAGTGCTTCGTGCAGCCGGCGCGCGGCCCCGGCGCCGAGGCCGCCGCGGCGCCCCTGCCGCCGCGGGTGGCGCGGCGGCTCGCCGACGCGCCCCGGCGGAGCATCCTCCACAACAGCGTGGCGCTCTCCATCGCGAGGGTGTCCACCAGTTTGAAGCGTAATAATAACAAGGACGGGCGACCTTCGCAAGGGTACCCTTGCATCCTTGCCTCCTCGGCCCATCCTTGGCCGCTTTCGTTGGCCGCGCCCCGCTCGCAAGGTGCTAACATGGCCCTTCCAAAGCCCTTGCATCCGTATCGTGCATCCTTGTGAATCGGGTTGGCTGTATCACTATCCCTATGTTTGGCATCACCCTACCTCGGTGCCGATCTCAAGGGCTCCCTCAGCTTCTGAGCTTCTGAGGGCACATCCCTAATTCAGATTGTCATCGCTTTTGGCTTGCCCATCTCAGGGATAGGGATCAGTTCGAGTCTGGTTAGGTGTGGCCGGCGAACCAGCTGCCCACCATCAAGCGCCTCTTCGAGGAGCTCGACGCCTCGCGCACGGGGCGGCTGAGCCAGACCAGCGTTGCGGCCGCCCTCGAGGGGTGTGGCGTCGAGGCGGCTGCCGCCCTCGAGGCCGCTGCGGCCATGGACCTCAACCGGGACGAGATCGTGGACTGGACCGAGTTCGTGGCCGCCTGCCTCGACCTCGGGGCCGAGGAGTTCGAGGCGGACCTGTGGCGAGTCTTCGGCGAGGCTGACGGCGACGGCGACGGGCTCCTCAGCCAGCGGGACGTCTCGGGGCTGCTCCTGGCCTCCCTCGACGGCGGCCTGAGGGGAGAGCTCGCGCGTGACGTGTTCGCCGACCTGGTGGGCCACACCGACGAGGGCGCCCGCCTGGACTGGCCCGCCTTCCGCGACCACTTCCGGGCCGGCGACCACTGCCGGGCGGCCGGCGCCCGGGGCAGGCCCAGCCAGGCGGAGCAGCTGCTGGCCGAGGCCCAGGCCCAGGTGTGATGGGCCTGTTTTTCACCACCACCACCACCATAAATGGAGGAGGAGGAGGAGGAGGAGGAGGAGGAGGAGGAGGAGGAGGAGGAGGAGGAGGAGGAGGACGGAGGAGTAGGAGGAGGAGGAGGAGGAGGAGGAGGAGGAGGAGGAGGAGGAGGAGAGGAGGAGGAGGAGGAGGAGGAGGAGGTGAGGAGGAGGAGGAGGAGGAGGAGGAGGAGGAGGAGGAGGAGGAGGTGGAGGAGGAGGAGGGAGGAGGAGGAGGAGGAGGAGGAGGAGGGAGGAGGAGAGGAGGAGGTATAGGAGGAGGGGAGGAGGGAGGGAGAGGAGGAGGATGGAGGAGAGGAGGTAGGAGGAGGGGACGAGGAGGGAGGAGAGAAGGAGGAGGAGGAGGGGGAGGTGGGGGGAGGAGGAGAGGGGAGAGGAGGGAGGGAGGAGGAGAGGACCCCTCCCCCTCCAACTTATGGTGGTGGTGGTGGTGGAAAACAGGCCCAGCAAGGTGCGCGGGCTCCTCGACAGGGCCCGGCTGGCGCTCTGGCCGGCGCCCGCGGGCGCGCCGGGCGAGCCGTCGGAGCAGCAGCTGCGGCAGCTGGCGGAGATGGGCTTCACGGACCGCGGCCGGTGCGCGGAGGTCCTGGCCAGGCACCGGGGCGACCTGGGCCCCGCCGCGCTCGAGGAGCTACTCCAGGCCCGGAAGGGGTGAGGTGTTTCTGTGGCCCTCTCGGCGCGGCGCGCCCCGCGGAATGGGCGGCGCCTCCGTCTCCACTGCCGCCTCCCGACCTCCTCGCCTCCCCGCCTCCCCGTCCCGCCGCCGCCCCCCCCCCCCTGGAATTTGCTCTGCCCCCCTCTGGGGCTCGGCCGCATGCCCACCTCAGCGGCGGGTCCCGGCGCCGGCCTTATGCACTGTGTAGGCGCAGGGCCCACCCTCTCGGCGCTGGGGAAGCTCCAATCGTGAGCGGCATGCTCGCCCTTCTTTCGAAGAAGAATACCCAGACATGATCGCGTCGTAACAAAAATCAGGACGGGAGGTTTTTGGCAATTTTCGGCCTCGGGGGGCCCTCGCTGGGCCTCGGGACCGTCATGAACGACTCAGGATGAAAAACCAGTCCCGGGGAAAGGGTCAGCGCTTCCACGGACCCCGTTTGACAAAATCAGGATGTCGCCTGTCTGGGAATGCTTCATAAACATAAGACCTTTCGGAGCTCCGTGCGGATTTCTTGGCTCGGCGCTGGGCCCCCCCCTCCCTGGCGCGCGGAGCGCGCCAGGAGCGGCGCCGGAGGCGCCGCCTGGGGGGGCCCAGCACCGATCCCAGAAGTCCGCGCGGAGCTCCGAAAGTTTATGTGTGTGCATCTATTTGTTCCCCTATTCTCTCTTTGTGACAGGGGGTGTGCTGCGATCAGCAGGCTTGCCCTTTTTTCAGTTTCGACGCGGCCAGCGCTTCCCCGCGGGAGGTCCCGACACTCCGCAGGGGTGATGCGGCGTCGCCTGCGCGGGCGTCGGTGCCGGGATGCCAAGGGGCGGCCCTTCTGCGAACGCCCTTCCATGGATCGGTATGTGCGCCCGCGCTGCTTGATGATGGCGGCGCGCCCGGGGGGGGAGTGAGGATTCGGCCACGCGCAGAGGGGGGCAGGGGGAGGGGGAAAGGCTTCTAAGAAGCAGCCTCCTTCTAAGAAGCCTTCCCCCCTCCCCCTATACACCCCTCTGCGCGCCGCCAGAGGACGCGAGCTTTTTTCTGCCTGTTTTTTTGTTTTGTTCTCTTTTCTTTTTGTTATCTGAGCCTCGACCTCAAGGGGGCCGTCGCCTCCTGCCTCGCCCTTCCCCTCCTCGTCTTCCCCTCCTCCTCGCTCCCCCAGACCGCCACCCCATACAGTGGAGATCCATAGTGAGGACGGGTAACCTTCCCAAGGGCACCCTTGCGTCCTTAGATTTGTTCGGCAGTGCGCCGCTGGAAACGCTTCAGCTGGGGCGTCCAAGGACCGTCCAAGGGTCTTGCGGCTACGGAGTTTGATTGGAATCCCCCGCTCTCAGCTCTCGAAGCCTGGGCGTGCCTGTCCCGAGCCTCGACCTCGGGGGGCAGTTTGCGGGCCCCGCGGGCCCTCAAGCACGGGTCCGGGGCGGAAAAAGCTTCCTCGAGTCGGGCATTGTCGCTCTACAGGAGGAACGTTAAAAAATAGTCCACGGATAATTGGGGACGATTTGTTTGGTGATTTTTTTCACCATTGTTGCATATTTGTTCTGATGTTTTTTTTATTTTCCTCCAGAAAGCCGCCTGTAGGAGGTCATGCCCGACTTAAAACTGGCCCTGCGGGAAGGGGTTGGGACATCTGGGGCCGCGGATGGAACATATCGTCTGTGGGAGCGAGAGGGGACCCGCTTCTCAGAAAGCGGCGGGGCTCTTCAGAAGCCCTCGCGCCTTCTGAGAAATTCGACGAGACGTGAGAGTGGCCCTTCGCTGGAGTGGCCGTTGGTGCGGGCGCATTGGGGTCCCCCGATCGTCGAACGCGATGCGATAGTAGCGTCTTGCGCGCTTACGGTTGGCCCTCCCGCACCCCCCCCCAAAAAGCCGAGCACCAAAAGTCACTTTTATTCAGGGTCACTCTTGCGTGGAGCCGAGAAGCAGCCTGTGTCCTCGGATAAGGCTTAGAAAGCTTCTTAAGAAGCCTGAGGCCCTCTGAGATTTCAGATATCTAATTACACTGCGTGAGTACTCGTCTCCTCTCTCCCCTGACTACGCGCGGGAGGTATGCCCCTCTCGTTCATTGATTTTACATTTCCGCAGCCCGACCGCCGCTGGAGCCCCTGCGGCCGCTGACCAAACAAACCAAACAAACTATGGTTTTTACAGTTCAGACGTTTTTTGTATGTTTGATTTGTTGTCGGTCTTGTGTATTTTTGTTTTGTTTTGCAACTCGATTGTTCTCGCTGTTTCAAAGTGGCACTCCCGCTGCAGCGTCGGCCTCATTTTCGGATCGTCGCTTTGCTCCCGTCGTTCATAATGGTGCTCTAGCCCCAGCGTGGGCCACTTTTCTGGATCCGAGTTCTCTTTCAACGTTGTCGCCCCTCCGATTTCCCTTCCAGGTGCTGCTGCTGCTGTGCATCCTCGTTTTCGTACTCCTCCTCTTCCTCCTCTTCCTCTTCCTTCTGCTTATTCTCCTGTTCACCCGCCACCTCCTGCTCTTCCTCCTCCAATTTATTTACGCAGCTCTCCTTTTCCGATCGCGCTTGACACGATGGGGTCTTTCTTGGAGTTCTAGGTCGGTTATGACGCGCGTCCGCGGATAGAGGAACACCAGCGCAATGGTAAGGGATGGGAGGGAAGGATGGGATGTCAGATGTGGCGCGAGCGCACCTGGCTTGGCCTGACCCCATTTGCTTTCCCACCGGGGCTCGCCGCCAAGGATAATCCACCAGGCGGAAACAGTTTTGGGGCACCGCTCCAGTTGCCCCCCATCAGGGTCAGAGTCCTTCTCTGCAACTTTCAGGTATAAGTGCTTCGCATTAGTTTCATGGCACGTCTGTAGGCAGTCGGATTGGACAGCCGAGCGACAGTGCAGCGGGCGTCGCGGGCAAGCGAGTCAGCCGCCGTCTGTGATAGCGGAGGTTCTCCCTGGGTACGGAGCCCAACTTTTCATGTGCAAGGCAGGTCATTATGTCATTCGGACGCTAGCCTCGGGACTCTGCGCCCTTGGCCGCACTTGACCTTCTGATTATAATACTGCCCCATGGCTGCTCGGCGGTCCTTGGTCGCCCACTCACGGCTCCTGTCCGACTGTTGTTCCCGATGATTACGGTTTTCGCGTGTGTCAGTATTGATCCACGCTCGCATGGCGATAGTTGCTTCAGATGTACGTTCCCCCCTCCGTCTCCTCTCCTCCTCCTCCTCCTCCTCCTCCTCCTCCTCCTCCAGGTCGGGTCAACCATGTTTGGCAACTACAGGCGGACCGAGGTATAACATCGAGGTCGGTTCGGGGAGGGTACCCACTGGCTCTTCGTGCCTGTTGGATGTTCTTGTGAATCCTGGGGAGGGTACCCTTGGATTTTCCGTTTGTTTTGGCCGACGGAGGGTCGCACGTTCTCGATGGATGTTTTTCTGGCTTGTGTCCGACTGTACGCTGCCCATTCTTCCTCTTCAGCCACGTCCCCCTTCTGAGCACGCTTTGCCGTCGGTGCTGCACAGGCCAAGGCTTCGGGTTTCGCGTGCGGGCTCGCCTACTTTGCAGGCTTGCCCTCGCGTGATTCCAGGCCTGCTTGGTGCATGTCGTGGGCACCGCCATCCGCACGGGTAGCGTGCTTCGAGGCAAAAAAGTGTCAGAGGGCAGAACTTTCTGCAGGCTTCTCTTGCTCTTGCCAGGCTTCCTCCACTCGATTTGCGCGAGCTCATCCTGCCTGGTCCTCCCCTTCTCCTCCCCTCTCCCCCGGCCCCTCGCCGTCCCTCTCCTTCCATGTGTGTGTGTGCCAGAAATACAGCAGAATCTGCAGGGATCTGGGGGCGCTGCCACGGGCGCGCGGGCCGGCCATGGTCGGCCCGGCCATCCCGAGCACCCGCGACGCGTGCGCGCTGCCCCTGGACCCGAGTGCGATGTAGCTGCCGCGCTACGACCATCTTTCGGGTGAGAAGGAGGTTCGGGGGGGGAGAGGAACCAACGTCCCACTCAATTGATCTCACTATCGGTCTCACCATCGATCTCACTCTCGGTCTCGCCCCCTCACCTCCGACCATGCGCGCGCCCTTCTTTTTTCCTCCCCCGTGGCG